CAGATTGGCGCAGCTCCAGCCATTGCGGCCGCTTGGGGAGTGAATTATCAGACAGAAGATATTTATCTCTGTGTCTCCTCCTCTTTGTATATCTGACTTTCCAATAAAAATAAATAAATCCTTTAAAAAATATATATATATATAAGTAACCTCCAAGAAATTATTAGAGCTACACTTGTTTTTTTTTTAAAGATTTATTTTTATTATTTTTTATTGGAAAGGCGGATATACAGAGAGACAGAGAGGAAGATCTTCCGTCCGATGATTCACTCCCCAAGTGAGTGCAACAGTCGATGCTATGCGGGTCCGAAGCCAGGAGCCTCTTCCAGGTCTCCCACGCGGGTGCAGGGTCCCAAAGCTTTGGGCCGACCTCGACTGCTTTCCCGGGCCACAGGCAGGGAGCTGGAAGGGAAGCGGGGCTGCCGGGATAGAACCGGCGCCCATATGGGATCCCGGGCGTGCAAGGTGAGGACCTTAACCACTGCGCCACCGCGCCGGGCCCTACACTTGTTTTTAAGATGATTATTTGCTGGGGTGGATATTAACCTGCTTCCCATATCCAAGTCCCAGCCCTGCTCTCCGTGCAGGCTTCCTGCTAAGGCCCACTCTGCGAAGCAGCAAAGCAACAAGTGATGGCATGACCACCCACATGGAAGACCAAACTGAGTTCCTGGATTCAGCCTGTCCCAACCCTGGCTGTTACAGGCATCATAGGGGCAGTGAATCAGCAGATGGGAAACCACTATGTGTCTTTCTGAGAAAGAAAAAGAGATTGATTTTTTTGTTGTTAAGATTATTTTCTGTGATTATGCCCAACAAATGCATAGTTTACATAATCCAGCAGTGCTGCCAGGATTGCCACCTCCTGCATTTCACAAACCTCAGCCCAGTGGATGGCACAGAGAAAGCATGTAGGTTGGGTTTTTTTTTTCCAGTTAATTTATGCATTGTGGAGACATAGTGGCCATTATAGTTTGAGAGCCCTGGGCATGAGTGCCAGTTCTGTCACCAGCTAACCGCGTGGACTTGGGCAAGTTAGTTCACCTCCAAGACCATCCTCATCTCGGTGAATGTGATGAGCAGCTGCATGCATCAAGGTACATGTTTCCCTCCAGGACTTTGCAAAGGCCTCTACCTTCAACATGGTGCCTAGCATAAAAACTGCTGGGATATAGGGTTTTTTGGTTTTTTTTTTTTTTTTTTAAGCAGAAGTTGGGGATTCTTGTTATTATTTCATGTTCAATTTCAGAGCTTTAGGAATCAGTCTGTGACAGTCTGGGCATTGTCTCTGCGCAGTGCCTGTAGAGGCAGAGAAGTGTCCTGATGATGTGCCAACCTTGTGCTTGATCCCTTGCCTTTCCTGTCCCACCCTTGCTGCTTTGTCCGCTTCTCTCCCTTTGCCTCAAAGAGCCACAGAGAAAGCTCCAAGATAGAACTGACCCTGTACACCTTGCATTGAGGACAGAATTTGCTCAGCTGTGGCCAAAAACCCACCAGTGGTTTACTTTTATAATCTTTGTCCTGGCTAGACTGGCTGGTGGCTGGATAATTTGTCTATTTTTGTCTGGAGTCTTGGACTATTCAGCTGCTTCAGGGCAAAATCTTTTGGGGGTGTCATTAAATGGGATTGATAATTGGCTTCTGATGAATATTCATTGTGACTAATGACTTTGGGCAAATTTTACACATACTATCTTTATTTTCTCCCACCGAGTGAGATTTTGATAGGATCATTTTACTCAACTTGCACTTCAATTAAATATTCACAATACCCTTTTGTTGACTACATTCCAATTTGTATACATTCATTACTTTTAGATTCTGTCTTCTGTAAGGAATGAGCACAGGCCTTTAGAATTCTGATTTTTTAGAGTGAATTTTTGAATGATTTTTAAAAAATAAATGACCAATGATTTGTTTTGGAATATAATAGAGTATTTCTGGTTAAGAGTAGACATACAGTAGGACCACTGTTGCAAATCAGCTTAGGAAAGATTCTTAAATAATAAAGCACACAGTTTTTGCCATTTGGGATTGTGGCAAAAAGCCAAACAATTCCCTGTTTTTGTTTGTTTTCTTAATCAAATGGGTGAATGAATTCATTTTTTTTCTCAATTGCAGATTTGTTCTTTGGAACACATCCTACAGCTTGGTTTTCTTAAATGAAGGACAAGTAATATTAAAATATTGGGAGTTAGTTTGATAGCTTGATGCTATTATCTGTATTCTGGTTTTTGTTGTTGGTTTTTTTTTTTTTTTTGGTTTGTTTTGAGTCCAAGTAAACACAAAAAAGAACTCTGAAGATCTTTATTGGTTAAAATAGCAAGTTGGATCCAAATCAAATTTAGAAGAAAGAGAGAGAGAGAGAGAGGAAGAAAGCAAGCAAGAAAGCAGATAATCAAGTTCAACCTTAACTAGGAGCATTCTGCTGAATGATTTTCTTAAAGAGAATTGTGAATGGATTTATGTGCTGACGTTCCTTTGCTACTGCACGGCACCTTACACATTGTGAGATGCTTTTACTTATTTAATTTGTGTGTTACGTGAGATATGTATCCTGTATATTAATGAGTGAATGGCTTGATTTCCCTAATATGGCACAGTCATGTGATTCCATCAGATACCGCCTTCTCTGAGACTCATGAAGATCTTGGTATGGTAATGTGGAATGCCAAGCCACTCTTTATTTTGCAAATATATTCTAAGTAGCATGTTTTATTACTTGTTCTGGATGCGCCACATTAACCAGCCCTCACATATGCCCGCCGAGAACATGGAGATGAGGGGAAATGGGGTCTCCATGTACTCTACATCCGGTTAATACCAAAGCCTCATACCCACGGGAACCAGGGAAGCTCAGAAGAGAGAGTGCTCATACAGGGTCCTGGGAGGATTCTGCCAGAGACACAAGTGCTGTCCACTTAGGAAATGGGTGGGAAGCAACGGGGTAGAAAAGGTATCCCAGAGAGTCCCCGAGTCAGCAAGCGATTCATTCCCAAGGTAAACATGGAGGCAACACTGCAGACCCTGTGGATGGAGATGCAGTTCACTGGGTGGCTGGGAGTCAGTGCAGACATCTTGTCGCAGCAGTGGCCCTGAGGACTTCCAAGAAGCAAGTGGCATGACTGGGCCTGCCCATAAGGAAGGGCAAGATGCAGGGGTAAGGGCGTGTGTGACCTCTAACCCGCCTTCTGGGTGGAGGTGGAATAGATTGATTCCACATAAGCAAGGAAATCCTGAAGGGGTCAGTCATGTGTCTGTATGCTGGCCTTCTCTCTTACGGGAACCTTCCGAAATAGATTTGGGGAGGGCAAGTTTTCACCCAGCAGGTGCTGCCCGAGGCACTGGGCAGCTCTTGAGCCTGCCTGGCCTGGCTGCTGTTCACAGCAGTACCTGATTTCAATACCAGCATCCGGAGGGAGAAAGGGGCCAGCAAAGGAGACCAAGTGCCCTGTCTTTAACACACAGCCTTCACAATGGTGAGACATCAAGCAGACTATCCAATTCAAAGCTGTTCATGTTACACTAACCTCTGGGATTTTTTTAACTGGGCCTTGGCACGTCACTCTTTTGCCACGTAAATGTCCTTCTGTCAGCAAAGGCCAGTTAACAGCTTCCTAAAGCAGCAGAGTCCTCCTGGGAACAGGCTTCCCAGAAACCCGAGGAACATTAAAGGGAAAAGACAGAAGGAAACATGTGTTGTTGACTTTTGTTGCCTCATAGCTATATCACCAAAGGTTGGATTTTTTTTTTAAAGTTTCTTTTCACTATATTGAATTTTGGAGCAATTGTATCTTTCTACATCTCCTACATTTTTAATTATACCAAATACTAATTGTATGATAGCTCTAGCTCTTAAGAGGGGGGGAGAAACGGAATATAAAATAGGGGCATGTCAAAAGAACAGGAAGAGGACGGGGAGGCTGTAAACAGTGCTCCAGCAATTGATTAACTATGTGAAAAAAATTCTCACCTCAGTTCCTAAATCTAAATTAATTCCAGATGGATTAAAGAGTTAAATGCTGGGGTAACGTTTGGAGGACTTTCTTAGGATAAAAGCAATGGAAATCATTGTAAAGGAAAAGATTTGTCTGTGTAATTATTTAAGCCTTCTCTTTACCCAACGATCCAAAGAAAATTAAGGGTAGATTATTTTTAAAAACATGACAAAGGATTGGTAACCTTGGCAGGTCATCAGTGCTTGCTTAGAAATCAATAATAGTAATTTAAAAACCCTAATACTCCCCATTTTAAAAACTAGCTAAGGACACAAATACTAAAGAAATATAGTCAAGAAATATGCAGCAATGAAATGTCGGCCTCAGCCATGATCAGATGAATAAAAGTGAATAAAAGTGAAAGCTACTGACTTGATGCTTCGGACTGGCGAGGAGGGGATGGGCGGGGAGTTGAGGTGTGTGAAACTAGAGCAACAAGATGGGGCATTCATCTATTTGTTACATTTTTACGATATTGACATGGTCATTTTCATTAAGTTTCTCTAGATATTTGTAAGCTTTGTGTCTAAGAACCATGCATACAAAGGATTGACCTGGTAGAGAAGTTCTTCAATATCGTGAGAAATCTATTGAGCATCATTAGCTCTTCTTAAAGAATGTTTAAGATGTGGACAGTGGCCCCAGATCATGTTAACTTTTTAAGAAGAGCAAAAGAACATGTACTCCTAGTTTATGCCAAAAGCAGAAAGAATTACTTACATGTGTAATGCCACCAAGTTACCTTCGGGCCGTGGTGACTGATTTTCTTTTGTCCGTTTTTTAACTTCCGGAGGCGTCTGCTGTAAGTGTGCGCCAGCCTCGCCGTCGGGGGAGGAGAGCACTCTTACTAAGGCAGAACCACAATGGTTGAGCTGACCCAGATTCCCCGTTATGGTGGTAAACTGTTGATGCACACATACTGAAGTTAAAAGGTGAAAGCCAGAGGCGGTGCTTCCTCGCTTCCGTTCCCAGCCCTGAATCCCTGCTCTGCTTCCTTTGCAGCTGACCGCCTGCATCCACGGCTCGGCCGCAATGCTGTACCCCATGTACTGGCAACACGTGTACATCCCGGTGCTGCCCCCTCACCTGCTCGACTACTGCTGGTAAGTACTCACCACCCCGTCCCCACTTCCCCCTGGCGGGGACTGGCCAGGAAAGCTAGGGTTGTGTGACCTGTGGGTGTGCTTGATGACTGTCATTTAAAATGCCAACTTGAAAGCAGCATGAATTTGGGATCACCCTTCTGAATGGCCCTCTTGTTTCCACACAGCTTTCACATGTATCAAGATATTCTGCAGACTTCGAGAAAGCCAGTAACACTTCTCCCATTTCTCAGTTTGAGACCAACATGCAAAGAGGCTGTAGGCTTTTTCTTGTTATTTTTCCTTCTTCTCTTAAAGACAAATTGGAAGCTGGGGATGGGAATACTGGAGATCCCCAAGGTCCTCAGGTTTCAGCCACACTCTGTAAGACCTGTTCTTGGCTGAGCTGTGGGAGCACAGGGCGGACTTCAAAACCCTTAGAAGTGTTCGTTTCTCAATGAGAGTTTCACTCTTCGGCAAAACATCTCTTAGTGGAAGGAAGACTTTGGAGTCAGCTTTACCATTTGACTTGGGCAAATCATGAGGCTTAAGAGTTTCTGTCCTCATTAGTCCTGTTCAATTGCTTGTGCACTGCATAAACAAAAGTGAGCAGAGGTAACAGGTGGCAGGGGACCAGGGGAAGAGCTCAGGTAAAATTGCCATGGAAGCCTCATCATCCCCACTGTCTGCAGTAAATCACCGAGAGAGACTGTGTGGCTTAGACTCCTCGTCCTTGGCTGTAAGTTCTCTCTCTAGGGTCATGCGAGTCAAGGTGTTGTCTCCAGACAGCTGCAGGTCAGCAGAGGTTGGGAAGGGAGCACTGTGAACCTGAAGGCAAGGTGTTTCCTGCCCGCCACTCATTGAAAACGTAAGGGATCCTGCAGAGAGGTCCCAGTCCTGTGGCTGAAGGATTGAGGATTCAGGCAGTTTACCATTGGGTCAGACTGATTACTGAGTCCCGTCAGGCAGCTTTTTTTTAGGGATCCCAAGCCTGCTTTGCAGTCATCTCATTCAGATGATTCAAGGTGTCCAGTGGTCCTGGGACCCATACACTATTCATTGAATGGGCAGGGCTGGTAGGCTTAACAAAGGCCAGGCTCATGCACTCTCAGTGGTCCCCAGCTAATACACAGCCCTGAGGGAATTGGCCCAGTTTACTCTTTTTTTTTCAATTTATTTGTTATTTATTTTTATTTATTTATTTATTTTTGAAAGTCAGATATGTGAGGAAGAAGAGACAGAGAGGCAGATTTTCTGTCCGCAACTATTGGTGCTGAGCTAATCCAAACCCAGGAGCCAGGAGCCTCTTCCGGGTCTCCCACATGTGTGAAGGGTCCCAAAGCTTTGGGCTGTCCTCAACTGCTTTCCCAGGCCACAAGCAGGGAGCTGATGGGAAGCGGGGCCGCTGGGACCAGAACTGGCGCCCATATGGGATCTCGGCACATGCAAAGCAAGGACTTTGGCCACTAGGCTGACGCACCAGGTCGGCCCAGTTCTGTTTTGATTCTGTGTTTCTATCAGAGAGATCCATCTTCTTACCTGGGACATTCTCTCACCTTTCAGAAGGCCGTGTGTTTCACGGCAAACGGAGAATGTAACCGGGGCTTGTTTTAAATTTCTTGGTCCATTAGATGGCTGGGCCAAGAAGATACTGTTCACTGTGTCTCTCTGTGCTTTGGTTTAGTCTGGAGGTTTGATGTGGTTTTTTTGGTCTAATGAATGATGAAATCTGGATGCTGCTCATCTCAATGTGTGTCTCATCGCTTTTGAAGGAGGGAGGAGGCACCGAGATGCAGTAGACAGCAAAGGATAATTCACCATACTGCCTCATGGGGTTTCTTCTTTTCCTTGGAGGACTGTTTGTACTCCCAGAGGCCCTGCCCAAGGCCCTCTGCCTGCCAGTGCTCCAGGGTCTCCTCTTCCATTGAACTCCATGGAGTGCAGAATTCTCCACTAAAGCTCTTCTGCTTCTAGGCTCCAAGTTCGCAGGCTCCCGTAGGAGCCTCAGTGCCTGTCGATTCTATTCTCCTTTCCTCTTGCCCCGAAGTTTATTCAAAGCCCTTGACCTGTCCTGCGCTCATTCTGTCCCCAGGGTTTCTCTGTGAACCTTCTCCACGTCTGCTTCCCCTGGTGTCAGGAACCTCGCCCTCCTACCACCTCGCTTGTCCCTTGGTTTGTGCTTCAGCACCTCTTTCCTCAGTCCACACCTCTTCATGCTGTTCTTGCTGAGCTTCTGAAAGCAGCTACTGTGGGCTGAGTGGAGGCTGACTCTGACACTCAAAGGAGGGAGCAGACCAGAGGAGCCTCGGGGAGAAGGCGCAAAACTCATACCCAAGCGAGGGGAGAGAGACAAGGAAGAGAGAAGCAGGGGCTGGCCCAGTTCAGCACCTTAAGCTGCTCGTTTAGGTCCTGATGCTCCACTTTAACTCCAGATCCCTGCCCATGTGCCTGGGAAACCCAACAGAAAATAGTCTTGGTGTTTGGGCCCTTGCCACTCGCTGGGGAGATCCAGATGCAGTTTCGGGCTTGGCTTCAGTCTGGCCCCAGTCCTGGCTATTGTAGTCACTTGAGGAGTTAACCAACAGATGGATGATCTCTCTCTCCTTCTGTCTTTCCCTTCCTATCTATGGCTCTGCCTTTCAAATAAATAAGATAAATAAATAAATAAATAAATTTTTTTCAAAAGGGGGAGTGGCTATAAAGGGACCCCAGACAGAATCACAGAGTGTCCCCTTGGCACGGAGAACCTGCAACCTGCCCTCTCCCCTGGTAGATTGCAACAGCTTCCCAGGCAGACACATGTCCAGCACAGACCAGTGCTTCTCACTCCTGTGGAGGGGGAGAGAGCCCCCATGCTCAGCTCAGCCCAGCATGGCGCTGCCTGGAAGGCCGGCCGCCAGTCACCCTGGAGGAGGCTATCCCATTGGCCCACATGCAGGCAGGCAAGCAGGCAGATCGGCCGGTCCAGGAGCACAGCAGTTCATGGAAGGTGAGGTGGGCAGAGTCAGCCCAGTCCCTGTGCCAAACTGCACAAAGTTAGCTTTCGTTTACTTGTATGTTTTGATTGACCCCTTTGTTAGCTAGTTGAAAACCAGCCTCCCATGTTCCCAGAACTGCAGAGAGGAACACGCTCCATCAGTAACATCAGGGATAACTGTACAGGAGCTGCGACTGTCAGTCATCTCTGAGGCCTCTTTTACATCTGTGGTCTCATTTAATTCTCCAAGCAGCCCTGCGAGGCATGCATTATTAACTCCATTTCTCAGATCAGTAAACCAAGGCCACAAGAGAGTTTGTACCTTGTCCCAGTGTAGACATTATGTACTGTAAGATTCCATCTTGATAAAGACAAGCAAGAATTGTGTGTACTAACATATATATACACAGAAGGGAGATATACAAACGAACATTGGAAAGTTCATGAAAATAAAACAGAATTAAGGATATGAATTTAACATTGAAGAAACATTGAAGTTTTTTTTTTCAGATTAGAGCTTTTCATTGATTAAAAAAAAAAAACCTTCATTGTTGAGATATGGGAGAATATGGAAAACAAAATACAAGGAGTGTGGAGACTTTTCCCCCAGCTTGTCACAAGTTGCCATAGAACATTCTGGCATCATCTCTTTCCAGCCACCTCCTTTTCCTTCTTTGTTTACAGAGAGGATCTGTTAGATGTTTTACTCTTTTCTGTGAAAAGTGCTCCCAGGACCTGTTTTCAGCAGCCTCCCCAACCCCACCATTCTCAAGAGCTGTGTGGCCAGCCTGCCTGAGGGCAGGGATACTTGGCCAGCAAGGCTGCATGAAGGCCATGGTCACCCCACATTTCTGCTCTAGAAGATTCCAAGTGAAGATGGCCTTTGGAGGTTGTGTTTCAGAAGTTTCTGGATCCACATAGCAGGAGAACCCACTCTCTTGGTCCCTCGTGTACATGGAAGAGCTTTCTGATGTTTGACTGAAAAAGATGACAGGCTGGTGGGGAATGGTGTCTGTTAACTAAACTGCAAGATGTAAGAATGATGAAATGGGAGACCCCAAGAGGAGGGGGGAACAGCTCCAATCAAAGCTTAATTTGATCACCTTCAACCTGCTGTCACTACTTTGGTCAGAAACTACAAATGTCATGAAATTTGAGTCGTTGCTAATAACTTGATTCTGTTGTGCTTGGTGACTTTTCACCAGTGTGGAGCTGAATCCTTGGTGGCAAGAGCCAGCGGGGATAACTAGCAATTTTAAGTAAAGTGCTAGGAGCCTGAAACATGTAAATTTGAAGGAGGTTTGTTCCTCTGCAGATGATTTAAATGTTAAGTACGTCCCCATGCAGGGGATACACGAAATGGAATCTGAAAACTATTATCTCCTGTAGAAGTGAACTCTCAATTTACTCACCGCACAGGAAGGGCAGATTCTAGTCATTTTCACTGCCAGCAGGTGCCCTTTCTATGCATAATAGACTTCGCAAGTGTAATTAACACATGAGGACCACTGCTGCCAGTTTTTCTGCAGGTACGTGCTGCCAGGAGTTTTCAGGACAACAGTGTGGGCTGTGCGTGATTTTTACATCAGGCTGTAAGAAGAGGTGTACATTGACTTCCGGACAAAGACGTGTTAAACGGGTTCAGGTGTAGACCCATGCTGTTGGTATCGCAGGTCATGGTCCTTAGGTCCAAAGACCCTAAAAGCTGTATGGCAGCTTGGATAGACTGGAAGCCAACAGAGCAAAGCTCTAGTTTGCATGCAGTTTACAAAAAAATGGAAAGATACCGAAAACCCTACAATTATGTGGAAGACTCTAATTGCACATTCACAAATATAACAACTAATTATGTGAGTTAACTTTAATTAGAGCTATAATCACAGATTTTAATTATCTGAATAAATCAGTTTAGGACAAATGCTCTCTAAATATTTCTCAGATTAATTTTTTTTAATGTCTCTTCCAATTTTTGGAGATGGCAGTAGAGTTAGAAAGTACCTGGGTTTTAGATTCAATCAATCCTGGATTCAGATTTCAGTATCAT